TTTAAGTCCTTGTTAAATATAATGCAAGTAACAGTAAATCGGTAATGCTATATATCTATAATCTACGTGTAATCGACATTAATAGTGAAAAGATGGTAAATTTTGATACGATGGTAGATATCGATTTTATGATCATGGAATGAGGTCGTGAGTATTCATTGTCGCGTCTCAAAACAGTATATTAAGTGTTCTTGTTTTTGATTCATATTATAAAGTATAATATTATCGATATAATCGTATAATGAATGGAATCTTAATTTCCTAATGGAATTTTATTTTTTTAATAATATTGTAATTATATACATCCAGTCATAATATAGTTAATTTAAATTTTGATAAACTTTTTTACTTAAATTGAATAAAATATGTATAATACAATTAAATAAAAATATTTGTCAATATGTTAAAACTCACATATTTAAATATATTATAAAAACATGTATTATTTAAATATAAGTAAATATGAAATATTTATATTAGGTTGGGGAAAAAATTTCTTCGTATTTTTTAATTCGAAATTGTATATACAATATCTTCGTCAAAAATCAACAAAATTTAAATTTAAAAAAGGATTTAAAACTTGAAATCTTTACTTTCGAAAAGTTACTATATATTTTTTGAGTTTCTGTGAGTTTAGTAATTTTTACATTTATAAAATTACGAGCTGAAAAAGATGAAAAATTTTTTTTTTACTTTGAGGGTTTCTCACGTGCCCACAAAAAATTTACGAAAATTTTCGACTACCTATCATGAAAGCTTGAAGCTTTCGAGTTATTCATGAATTAAGTAAAGGAGCATTCTGACTTCGATTGTTCATAATTTCGATAAAAATCAACATACTGCAATTACAAAACAAATTCTTAAAACTGAAACTTTATTTAGCGAATGATATAACTGTAACGAAAATTTCGCAACAAATGAAAAACTTTTGCAACAAAATTTTTTTCTCGATCTAATATATAAAATGTAAAATATTTATATATTTATAAGTGTATATTTATAATGAAATGTTAATGAAAAATTATTTTACTAATTATTATATAATATTATCTATAATAAGTAAATATTATAATAAAATAATTATAGTAAAACGTTCATATTAAATTTACATTAACTTTGTAGTAACATATTTTTATTTATTTTACAACATTATATTTTCTATTACTTTTTATATAGTATTTTACAAATCTTTTATATAGTATTTTATTGTTATCCTCAATAAGATTTTTTTCATCAGTAATTTTTTTGTATGTCAGTAGTATAACATGCGATTGTTAAAGTGAATGCAGAAATGTGGGTCATCAGTCGTACACAACAGAACTAATATATTGTTATGTCCAGTACATCCGTGGCACAGAAACTTTATGGTGACATATTTTACCGCCTATCAGTTGTATTTTTTCTCCGACCTCAGGCTTACAAAATATATAACAGTAATATAATGTTTTTTATGCGTAGGATGACTCAAGATATGTAATAAAATTTGAAAATGCATTTTTTTAAATCATTGTTTTTTAAAAAATATTTCTAGATTTTTTTATATATAATTTTTTAATGCATCAATTATATTTTTGTTTCGAGAGATAAGAAAAACAGAACAGAAAAAAAAATTACTGGAAAAATAAAAGGAACTAGAGCATGACTAGTGTATTGCTTCAGTAGTGTACGTGATACTACTGAATGAACATTTAACATATAGATAAACCTATCAAATTATTTGATATCGCTGATTGATTATTTATCTTTTTACGTTTTTAATTTCACAAAAATATGTATCTATATTTGAGATCTTCCAAAATACTTGATAATCGTATATTTTTCTTTTGATTTTGTTGTCTATGTATATTACATTTTAATTATTGAAGTATTTCTGTACATTTAAAAGAAATGCGATCATAGTACGTGTATGCATATATAGAATTTATTATATAGCTGTAATTACCGCTATTTAAATTGTTTTTTCTCATACAATATGCATTTAGTATTTCTATCTGGAAACATCCTTCGTCAATGACTCATGCCTTGACATTGCATAAATATTCTAGGTGAACGTAAGACAATAGAATATTTAGCATCGATTTCCTACGTAGATCTATAATGAGTCTTGTTTGTGTAAGGATGAAATGGACTTTAACCCATCGCGCATACCGTCTTGCTGTATATTTTTACCGGTCAGTGTCCACGCTAGAACGATCGATAGGCTTTTCTTTTTTCACAACATGTGCCAGCATTGCTGGATACTTAGAATCGATATCCGTGGACGAGATTGAAAATCCACGTGAACCTTTAAGCCTTTGAGTTTATAAATATATAATAAATAAATGCATGCTTGATATATATATTGTACGCCGCGAAGTTTCAGTGCACGTGAGGGATGTCGATATGTCTTGTCGATTGCATCGACATTTCGTTATACATATACAATATAACGATATCTCTATCACAAATTAATAAAGAAGTCATTAACCTTCTACTTCTCTTGTATCTTCTGCGAAATTCTATTAGAAGAAAAATTACTTTTAAAATAGTATTGTAATTAATTTTAAAATAGTATTGTAAGATAATACACATTTAAAGGAGAATAGTAAAGAAAAAAAAGTCAATAACTATATTGCATTAAATATTTTTTTAAATATGGAGTTTACAAATGATTTTTTGTTTCATATTAAAAATTGAGAAATGTTCTTTATTGATTAATGATTTTTTCTGCGACTGAGAAATAAAAAATGTTATTATTATGTTTTGTATTGCTTTGAAGTTCAACACTATGATTATAAAATTTGTGCTATGAGAATTGCATCGTTATTAGTTTGCAAAACAATTTCGCGGAAGAGAAAATTTATAATATTATTTATAAATAATATTATTATCATGTAATTTAAAAGCGTAATTCAATATCAGTAAAAAAACTGTTTGAAAAGCTGCATAGACTTACCTGAGAATACAGATAATCACGAGATCGTCGAACAGTTCATGTTTACGCGAATACTTATCGATCACAGATCAAATAGTTTCTTCGGCAGTGACACACTTGTTTTCGAAACGAAAAAATTCGTAATTCTTATTTTTTTCATAAACAATTTTCGAGAATAAGTTAACTTTCGTTTCGACATTTTTAGCATTGTGTTTTCCATCGTTCGCTTCAATGTCATATAATTATTTTCGCGCATAGGTTTCGAATTATCATACGTTCATTATTTTGTTCCAAAAATCATACTTGTAAGAAATTAGTGAAATAAACAGCGAACAATCAGATTTGTGATCCAGAGACAGCATTCTCGAGGATCGCGTGGAAGCACACTTCACGCGGCCGCGTACTCCGCGCGTGTGAAAGGGGTTGTACTGTTCAACCCCCACGTTCATGCGGTTGTACGAGTCACGTGTACGTCACGTTCGACAATCATCCCCTCCATCATGATATCAAAGGTGTACTTAACTATTAGTAACTGTTAACGGGCTTTTGAATGTTGGAATTGTCCAAATTGATCAAATGAGATACACATAATTATAATACATGAATGATAACTATTACTTTTTTCTATTTTTTGTGTTTACATAAAGTAATATCATCAAGTAATACAGATATATTATCTAAAGAGATAAATGTCATATTACTGGCATATAAATATCATAAAATTCTAAATTGAAGCAGACATTTTCAATAACATGTTTAATGACATTTTTCTTGTAATATGTAGATCTTATTTAAAGTATGATGAAGTTTAATATATCTGGTTATTCTTTGAATTTTAATTTCTTTAAATTTTTTAAAGATAAATTAGACAGCTCACACTTAATCCTTTAATTATTTTCGAAATATTATAGAATAAAAAAAAAAATATTATATTTTTGCCAAAACTTTACTTTTAAATATAACTTAAAAAATAATCTTTGATTACACTCAGTGTCTCGATAAATCAGACAGTAGAAGTTAATCGCGACCCTCTAAAGGTTTTTTTACTGTGGGTTTGCGTGTTTATTGGAAAAGGAATATTGATAAACATCTGAAATCTAATCTTTAAGGGTCACAATTGTGAATTTTAGTGCGCACCTTTTCACTAATTTAAACAATAATGAGAAAATGTCATGATAACATACTAATTGTAAATTTTTAAACTAGAATACTTTGAACGTTTATAAAACTTATTTATATCTTATATCTTATTATTGCAAATATTTATTGTCAACTTTTATTTACCAATTATAAATAAAAAAAAAACATGAATTGTGTGAACAAGTGTATTAGTTTTTATAAAACATTTTTGCATTTTAATAGTATTATTGTCGGACGATAAAACTTTTCACCGTGGTACGGTGGAATGTACGCCATATAATAGCGAATGTAATATGGAAAGGCCAAAGGACGCCATAACGCTTTAAAGAGGCTTGTACCTAGGTGATCGACCACTGACCAGTCGGTTATATAGCTGCTTTAGATTAGCATGAGGTTGCACGCAACCCTGACGTTCAGGAAGACGATAAGAGAATAGGTAACCGTTTCCTCTGCTACCTAACTTTTCAACCAGTGACCTGCTATTCTGTGCGTATAAAACTTATAATCTCGATCGCAGTTCGGATTTTTTAATTATTTGGTCATATATGTACGTCAGCTATTCGACTACTTAGATGTCGCAAGAATAATTAACGCGATTAACTATTAGTACATAGCTTCACATTCTTCTCTCTAAACAGAACAGAATTTCGTTTAGGAAATAAGAAAACAGAATTTATTGAAAAAAATTTATTTGTCTATAAAAAATACGAAGGTGTATAAAAGTTTGTTGTACGATAAATCGTTGTGCAAGTAGTCAACGTTGACTAATATTATAAATTAAATCGTTCAAAATACTCAGCACTCATAATATAAAATATCTTGTATCAACACATACATATCAATTCATTCATAAAAGGCATATGAATTATGAATTAAATATACATGTTACAATAAATAATTTGAGAAAATCTTGTATTTAAAATTACAATAGTCGATGACGAGTCGTTCTATTTTTGTGCAATGTTATTATTTACAAAGTAATCCTTGGTTTTATTGTACCATACATCTAAAGAATAATCAGTGGCATAGCATGAATCACGTGTGATCTCAAAACTTATTGATTTGCTATAATTCCGTTGTTTCGATTTTTTTTCCTAAAGGATTGACGATTGTATTTTGTCCTGAGTAAATCGGTGAATTTCTGTCAAAATTATTTTGAATGTTGATACTCTCCACGCTGTAATAGCAAAAATATATATATGTAGATTATGTGCCATTCATTTTGTACACATTAGACGTAATGATATCGTATTGTAAATTTAAAATATTTGAAATTTAAAATACACAATATTGATGAGTAGAATTTTTTCCATAATGTATATGTATATAAAAAAATGGAAAAAATTCAATCTTCGTAATCATGTCATTAATATGTCCAATTACATTTGTTTTAATCAGAAATAAGTGGCAAAATATTACAAAAGTAGCTTCATACCTAGAAATAGTTGAAATTCTTGGTTCTATGTAATATGGTTTATCCTCAGATCTTTGGTTTGTATTGGCTTCATTCATCATCTCTTCGTTATTAAGCGCATTCTCGTCGAGAGAATCTCTTTCGGACGTATGGCTGAACGACTCGTCGTTCTTGAACCACTCGTTTTCATAAGCGTGCATCCATATAGGATTCGATCCTTCGACGCTGTGTTTATTAGTATTCGGGACGCGACCAGGACTTCTGATAAATTCGGAGTCTGATACACCTTTGGAATTGATAATAAATTAAACTGATTTTATTATAATATTGGAAACAATGTTGTGATAAAAATGATTAAAATTATTTCCTTGCAAAAAAATATTTAATTATCGAAAGTGTGTCTTTTAATAAATTCTAAATTTCATAAATTCTAAAACTTTCGATGGGAAAAAAATCATTATCAATTATATTGAAATTCTAAAAGTAAAGCATTAATGAGTGGACAATAGCCAAAGAAAGAGAAAGGAGTTGAAGAGAAACTGGTAAACATAGTTATAATATTTGCATTTCAAGTTACCGAATGGTGATGCGTTCGCCGCTTTCAATTGCCTTCGAAAAGAAGCCCTTTGAGACAAACATAAAGCGACACACAGAATCAGTAGAGCTCCTAGAAATAGGGTCAACGTGAGAAGCCAGAAAGTCGTTCCTGCTTGTTCATACTGTATAATCGGTTCGGGCTTTGCTGGCTGCGTATCGAGGACGTTGAACTCCTTGAATAGATTATCGAGTTTCTCGATGTTCCTGTCGACTAACTCGAGAACCTCGGATACTTCGAGAATCGAATTGTCCCGACGATTTACAAGGTGTAAATATAAATCCGTTTTCGTTCTATCTACGGAACCATCTTGATTTTCATGCACTTTATATTCATCAACGTTAATTATAGCGCTAGTGACGTTACCTAGAATTCTGTGAATGGAAAATTTAGATGTGTTAGCTAAAGTAGTTTTTAGATCTTACTTGAAGTGAGAATAGATGCCTTTAAACTCTCTACAAAATTTGAAAAATTTAAATTTAATTTTTGAAACATAATCAGAAATATTTTACTCTGTCATATTTTGCATAAGATCTACGTATATATTACAATAGTACAATATCATTAATAAACTATTAATTTTTGTTGAAATTATCTATTTTCTAAATAATTTTTCATTCAATATTTTTCTATTTTAATGAAAATTTATCATTTTTAGTTACATATTACGATGACGTGCAAAATATGTTACACTTACTCTCGGAAACTCTCAATTCGACTTCTGACTTCTGGCGGATGTTGACGGAGAACAAAACGAACCCTTTGATCCTCCCTTAATAAATAGATAAAAACTCTCGCAGTATCTTGCAAGCCATATGTATCGTTAACGAGTACCTGTATTTATACAATATTGTATACAAATAACGTTTTATATAGTTTATTGTTTTATATTAAATAAAATAAGATATAAAATTATAACAGAAAATAATTGAAAGTGCGATATTCTATATTTATTTATACAAGAATATATATCAATTTTATCAAAACGATTTATATTATTAAAATAAGTATACCATAAAATCAAAGTATCCCTTCATTCCTCGTTGAGGATCAAAATTCAGGCTCACTGCTCCATCGTCTTCATTTACTAGAAAAGGCTGCATTTGCATATCTTCGAAGCCTTCAGTAAGCGTCATGTGAATTTTGCCTACTTGATAATAACTGAGTATGGCATTGTTGCCAGCATCCGCATCAATTGCCTGTAATACACATTTACATAAATGCATTTAAAAAATATTAAGTTAAATTAAATACTAATTAATACTATTTTTTTAGAGAATAATACCTACTTTTATATACATAAATTGCGTGCCAAAGTCGGCTTCAGTAGTAACGCCACCCGTAAAAACATCTTTAATAAATTGGGGTGCGTTGTCATTAATGTCATCAACTTTTACGATAACTTGTAGTAGAGTAGCATCAGTTTTGTCAAACATTGTTTGATTTTCCGGCATGGTCTTGCAATCCTCCGTTGCTTTAATAAGCAATACGTGTTCTTCTTGCTGTTCTCTATCCAGCAATTTAGCAGTCTAAGCAATAAATAATATCAATTCTTCTCCAGTCATCAAGAGATGAAAAATACGAAAAATAAGAAAAAAAAAATTTAATAAGTGACTTACCCCAAGTTCGTGTTTATAAATATCCAAAACGAATAATCCACCGTTGTTTCCGCCAACTATGAAATAACAGACTTGAGTGGGAGGATCATCCAACTCGTCAACGTCATCATTATCAAATGTTTCTGGGAGTAACACCATCTCTGACCCTGGCGGCTGTTCCTCCGTGAAATTAACATTAAAAACGCTCACTGAAAACTGCGGCTCGAAATCGTTGATGTTCCGCACATAAATAATTAAATCGAGATCTGAACTTAAAGGCGTCGGGGTACCCAAATCGTATGCTTCGACACGTATCTATGTTAATTTTATTTGAAAAACATTTATAAAGTAATTAACAAGAAATATAATACAATTTAAATTTCACAATTATATACGTTTGCATACCTCATATAATTTTTGAGTCTCTCTATCGAGCGGTAATTTTAAGGATATTACGCCGGTTTTCTCATCGATACGAAAAGTCTTCCAGTGGCCCGCGAGATCCTGTTTTAAACGATAATGCACATCGCCATTTAATCCCGTATCGGCATCTTTCGCTTCAATTTGAATAATCGGACTTCCTATTGTTATGTTCTAAAATATTCGTTTTGTATTATTAATGTCGTTTCGCGTGTACATTAGAAATACAGCATTATGCAAATTAGTCAGAAACACGAACCTCTGGAACGCGGATGGTGGTGTTGTGCTGAGGACTGATGAATAAAGGAGGATTATCGTTGTAATCCGTGACGCAAATTTTTAAAATTCCTTTGTCCTTATTGGATGGTGTTCCCAGATCACGTGCTTCAACATTTAATGTATAATTTCCGAATTTTCCTCTTAATGATTGCGCAGCTTTTATTTTTGCCGTCCAATGATCGGTTTGTTCCAATAGAAATAAACCTGTTGACCAAAATTTTATTCAAAACTAATTATATTTAATATTTAAGAAAATACATCAATTGTAGCAGAATTTCATAAATTTCATAATATATACTATATACTTAATTGCATTATGTATGCTGATATCGAATATCGAATATATTATATTTAGGTAATATTTAAAAGTTAATTGCGCACCTAATTCATTGCCGGAAGTGATTCTAATTACAACGCGTCCATTCGGCGTAGTCGGGTCATCAGCGTCCTTCACTTTTATAACATAAATTAAATCTCGTATGTCATGAAATTCAGATATTGAGATGCAGTTTTGAGGTATATCCATTTTCGGAACATTGTCATTCACATCAATGACTGTAACTCTAAAACAATATGCTTCGTTTTACAATAATACTGTCTAAGTGACTTACAGTGTAAAATTCAATTTGAATTAAATTAGAATTATATTTATTATTAATAAGCCGAGAAATTATATTATTATTTTGAAATTTCGTAAACATACTGGATTTGCTTAAATGCGTTTCGAGACTCCCCCGCGGTATAACCAAATTGGTAATTATCCCACGCTTCTATGACCAAAACATAACTGTGTCTGATCTCCCAATCGAGAACATCAGCTACTGTCAGTGATCCCGTTTCTGAGTGAATAGCGAAAGTTCCCTATTTAAAATAACGATTGTAAATTAATAAATTAATAAAATACAACAATTATATAATTATTACATTACATTGTTTTGAAAGAACAATAAAATTAAATATTACTAAACTGCGCTGCAAAGTAAATATAGAATTGTAAAAAATGTCTATGTTTGTGTATTATTATGAAAATGCAAATTTTGTTGTTACGTTTCCTACCTGAGATGATATTCTGTCTAAAAGATAAGTGATTTTTCCATAATCTCCACTATCAGAATCTGCCGCCTGTATTACAGCAATTTCTGTGCCAATTTTTGAATTCTCCATAACAGTTACATTACTAATGTTCGAAACAAAATACGGATTATTATCGTTTTCATCCAAGACTTGAACGTATACTTCTGATAAACTCGATCTATAAAATTGAATATAATTTAACACCTTAACATATTTCAATAAAAAAAAATGCTAAAACGTTATTATTTATTTAATGTTGGCAAATTAATTAGTTATAAATTTTTGTTTTTAAAATTAAATATAATATAACGAGATGAAATGGGAATTGTCCAGAGAAATTAATGCAAATCCATTTACGTAACATAATAAATTAGTAAATGGCATCATTCTTACCGAGGTGGAATTCCAGAATCTGTGGCTTTGACAGTTAAATTTAGCCACGAGTACGTTTCCCTGTCGATTTTGTTAGCGACGACCATTTCTCCGGTTTCATGATCTAAATGGACGAGGTCAGTGATCTCTTTCGGGCCTTGTAAAGAATATGTAATGCTACGATTTTTATCGGCATCATCGGCAACAATGTTCACGATATTAACTCCATTTTTACTATTTTCCGTAACAGAACGTCTGTAAAATGGTCTCCGGAATTTCGGATTATTATCGTTTTCATCCTCGATAATTATACTCAAGGTGGCTGCAAAATTTTTGTATTATGTGTTTTAATAAAATATCTTTGCGACACAAAAGTTTCAAAAACATTTTAAAAACTTTGCAAAAAAGATTTGAAGTAAGACCTTGTCATGTACAAAAGTAAAACTAACCGGATGCAGTTTGCAAGCCTCTTACTGCAACAGCTTCACTATACGTAGCAAGCCATCTAATGCATTTAACTCTAGCGCTGCTAGATAGTCATACTCTTGCACTTTGATTAAAGTACCCTCCTCATTTCGTGCTTCCGATGAGTTGGGATCTACGCGATAACGCAGAATCGGAGCTACATCCGGATCCTGCGCCACTATGCGATGAACGTAAGCACCGACCTAAAGTCATTTTGTTGATTATAGAATTGAGAAATTCAGCAGAGCGTCTGATAACATACCTGAGTGTTTTCTCTGATAGTGACAGTTCCAGGATCGATAAAAACTGGCGGTTTATTATTGACGTCTAGGATTGTGATATTCACGAGAACCTCGGCCGTCTGTTGAATTTCCGTACCGCTATCGATGGCGATAACGTTCAAATTATACCTCGTGGTTTTCGGCGACGTAAGATCCGGATCTAAGTTGGAACCCGGCGCCACTCGGATCACGCCTGTCTCGGGACTAATTACGAACTTGTCTCCGGCTCCACTCTGAATTCGGTAAACTAACTTGTTATTCGGCGAAGATAGATCTTTGTCCCACGCTTTTACCTATACGATATATATTCTTCATTCATCGTTTATCAGCAATTACACCTAATTATTTATCTTTTTCTTATCCCTTACTTTTTTATACAATTAAAAAATTTGAACTTACAACTTTACGACGTCTTACGTAAAGTATATAATATTATATCATAATTACATACTTGTACAATATTCGTGCCACCTGGCGAGTCCTCAGGAATATTTCTCTTATACAAAGTTCTTTCGAAAACCGGAGCATTGTCATTAACGTCTCTCAAATAAATCATTAGAGGAACGTCAGAAATCAAACTTGGCGTGCCCATATCTCTGGCTCTCACTGTTAATCTTAATTGACGTATAATCATTTCTTTGTGTCCTTGATTAATGGGTAGAGCTTCGTAATCCAGAGGACGGGTAGGTGTAACAATGCCGCGTTTTGGATCGATAGTAAAATTTCGGGAAAATTCACTTGATACGAGAGCGTAGATTATCTCACTGTTTCGCGTTCCTGTATACATATGTAAACATGACACATCATAGAGATATATTTTATTTATTTGTTAAACGTTGCCTGACCGTTTAAATCGTTATCGGACGCTTCGACGATCAGAGGCGATTCAAAGTGATCCTCATTCTCCAACAGCATCGCCTCGTATTTATTTTGCAGAAATATAGGAGCGTTGTCATTAACATCATCAATATTAATTATCAATTGCGCAGCGTTGCGATTTCCTTTTCCAAGATTATCTCGCGCCTCGACGGTGAGATAATGCCGAGCAACTAATTCTCGATCAAAACTGGACCCGGGATGTTTAACTGTTATTACGCCGGTAAGAGGATCCATCGTCAATCTACGAAATTAGATTTAATCTATAGCATGCTTTCATTATTTCATTAATAATTTATCGATATTAGAATTTTCTTAATTATATTAAGTAAAAAGTCTCCTCTTCTTTTTAATATAATTTTTTTATTGATTCATAAATATAGAAATCTCTCTATATATAAAATTATGATATAATTATGTGAGTCTTAATTTATTATCTTACGCATGTGCAATGCTACCGCCTAAAGTTGTGTATCGTATTCCATGCGTTCCAAGATTATCGCTGTCTGCGTCTAAGGCCTGCACCCAAGCAACAGTTGTCCCCTCGACACAATTTTCTGGTATCGACACCTCGTAGATATCTTCCGTAAATTCGGGATAATTATCATTTTGATCCTTTATAAAGACCGTAACTGGTACCGCGCTATACTTCGGCGAAATTGGCGTGATTTCTTTCGCAACGAGAGTGAAGTTCACCACTGCAAGAAAGATACATAAGTTTTGTATATGTAAGTGACACAATACAAGACAAATGTATAACGTTCATTTTAACACATTAATTTTATAATAGTTCATTTAATTATTTAACGAAGAAAAATGTACAACTTTACCAGATATTTTTTCAAAATCGAGTTTATTCGAATCCTTAACGCGTATTAAAAACGGTGCCTCATTGATCCCGCGAAACGGTGTTACATCAAACATCCCACCATCGCCTTCAATAAATATTCGAAATGTGCCGTTGGAACCCTGAAAAAAAATTTACTGTATTTGTAAAAATTGTTCTCAAAATTAAAAAAAAATTATATACTTTATTAAAAAAGTAGCATTTTTTAAATATTGATTTTTTTCAAATGTTAAAATTTTATTAAAAAAATAATTTTTCTCACTATTCTCAACTTACCAGGTCATGATCAAATATTTCTGGTACAGCATCGCCAATGAAATTAACTGGCGTATTTTCCGGCGCGTTCTCATTTATTTCGGCACGGTACAACATACTTCTAAATGTCGGCGTTTCGTCATTTACATCAGTAAGAATAATGGTCACCTCGGTACTAACAGACGGTGGTGGAACAATTTTCGATACTTCCTTCACCGTAATTTCTAGAATAAAAGTGCCATCACTATTCTCTTCAGCCTCTCTATCCAATTGCGCTCTTGTAAACACGAGGCCAGAAGTCGCATCAATATCAAACAAATATCTCGGTCCCTTTGTGATGCTATAAGTTACTTTATTGTTTATCCCCTTATCACCATCCACAGCACGAACTGCAACAAGATTTATTATTATATCACACATTAGAGCCACAAATTCTTATATACAGAATATATCCCACTAAAATCACACTAAAAATATCGAGATCACAATAATTTTTGAAAACGATTGACGTTCAATAAAACGCAAAAAAATTTGTTTTCGTTTTAAACGAAAAATATTTATATAAATATTATATATAAAAAACATTTATTATTTTTTAAACACTTTATATTCTAAAAACAATAACGTGATTTTAATAAATAAAAGAATAAGATTAAATAATAAAAAAGCTTTAAAAAATATAGTTATTTGACTTCATCTTTTTTTTCTCAATGTACGATCACAGCTTCTCGATGCTTTAGCTATCTAACGCCTAAGGATGTTTATGATTATTCTAGTTTTAAAGAACAGTAATAAAGGAACAACGGATCATAGCTTTTCACGTACTTTTCTTACGTTATTCTTCCGTCATAATAGAGTGAAGAATGCATCGTGCGATTATTAGAGCGAGATAGCTTAGATTTGATTTGTAATTGTTGTAATGTTTGAAGGCAGAAGTTGCGTACGTGTATATACGTTTGTATATATACACATATATATTGTTGCACGCGCCTGCGTCAAAGTATGTCAAAATTAAATTTTAAATTAATTAGCTGAAAATTGCCCATTACAACATCTTAGTTAATTTCTTGTCTTAATTAGGCAGCATCATCCATTATAAATGAACTTTGTTATTCATTCATTTATTCTGTTATTATTAGGTGTTGGAATTAATTCGTAGCGTTTTTAATGAAAGAATGTTATTTATTTCACATGAGCATTAAAAAATACATTAATGAAAGTACTTCCCATCACTTGTAAAACGCTACGAATTAATTCCAACACCTAATATATTAAGTTATGTTTAAAATTAAATCCCGCAAATTGTAGAAATAACTTTGAACTTCGTTTTATTGCGAAATAATGCTGACCTTGCAAAACGGATGTGCCAATCCTGACATTTTCGCTGATTCTTGCGACAGGCGTCATGGCTATGAATTCAGGCGGCTGGTCCTCCACATCCTGTACTTTGATCAAAATCGCTGTCGTTCCCGTATTTACCTGAAAGGGAAGGAAGATTAACTATTTTATCTTGAATAATTAAGTACAAGTAAACTCTACAGGAAGTTGCCTTAAAGAAATGGCTATAATGAATAACTGTACCGATTACTTATGTAGATGATTATCTTCTGGCATTATTCACCCTTCACTGCGCATAACTTTATAGGGAAAAGTCATTGAACTATTCAGTAACTATGGATCGTACGGGTTTTTATCTACGTAATGTTCGCGCATATCGCATTTTGTTAAATAGTACCCTTATAACTTTTAAAACTTTTAGAAAACACACACCTTATTTAAGTGTATGTATATATATATACGAATTAATAATGTACATAGCAGAATAGTAAAGTTATAAAAATAAATTCGCGTCCATTTTTCCTATTATTCATGACACTTGAAAGAAATAAATAAATTTGATAAAATATATAATGAAAAATAATAACACTGAAATAAAATACCTTTTCATTTATTGCACGATCTACAGCCAAGATCCGCAGTTGATACAGATACTTTCGTTCATAATCCAAAGAACCCACTATGCGTATGACGCCCTTGCCATTGACGGTCGATATGCTGAAAACGTTGTTATCGCCATCCAATTCCTGAAGGTAATACACCACTTGACCATGAGCACCCAAATCGGCGTCGGTAGCTTCCACCGTTGTTAAAATACCCGGGCGTGAATCCTCCCGAAGAGTTAACGAGGTAGGATGTGGACGGAAAATTGGTACATTGTCGTTAATGTCCTCGACCAGAAGCAGCAGACTTTGCGTGATAAAATTTCCCTCCCCCAATCTTCCATCCGTCAATGTTAACACGAGTGCATATTCATCTCTTGTCTGATAAAATACAAATAACATTAAAATTAAATTAAGTTTGCTTTAGACGATTTATAATTTGTGTCAGAATTTAGGATAAGAATTCTATTTATAATTTTATATTTTTGATTTTTGTCGTGTAAATAAAATATAATATTTAAAGAATTAAAATATATGTACATAACATTTATATTGAAATACATAAATATACCAAAATCCACAAAAAATTATATAGAATTCTATTCTGAAACATGAATAGAATTCGATAGTAAACTCTCGATTATTTAAAGTGGATTAATTATTAATATATTTGAAAGATATATACAAATTGCTTGAAATATCGAGATAGGTGAAGATCAAAATGCAAGAGATAAAATATTAAATTTGAATGAAGTTAATTGATATAAAATTTGTTGTAATTGATATAAAGTTTTTTAAAATTGTAACATATCATGCGATAATCATTATGATTCAAATACGAGCATCATCGACGATAGAAAGTTAACAACAAACGTATTATTTTACGCGTGCACTGATGCTACAAATAATATCTTTACGAAGTGGATCCTCATAAAAATGATGAGTAAATTACGTTTGTCTCCGCTGATACTTAAATTTCTCTTTAATGATTTGTTGGACTGTAATATTGAAGTCACAATCCGAAGACAAGGTAAATCACTCGTGCAAAACAGAAATAACAGTGGGACAACATAAGAATTATTGCGGTATCTCTTCCTGTCTTAGCTTTGTTTCTGTAGTTATGTTGTTTAATAGCTCTTACTTTGACGATTTATGACTATTAAGACGAGCAATTGTTAAGATTTAGTTTTTACTTCGCGATATTTGATGTAAAATTTAAAAAATATTTTTAATAACTTTCATAATCTTAGTAACTTAAAAATTATTTAGAATGAGATTACCTCTCTGTCCAATAACTTATTTAAGTAAATGTTGGCTTCATTAAAACCGAAATTTTCGACTTGAATCACGTCACTACCAGGCTGTTCTCGAACGCCAAATGTCAATATATCATTATCTGGATCGATACCTTTGAGCTTATAAATTAGGCTACCTGTAAGTAATATTTTTATATATTTATAAGGTTCATGTACAATAAAAATGAAAAATGTAATGGTCATATGGAAGAAAATAATGAAAAGTATTTTAGTAATTGCTATCTTTTTAAAGCAATAGAAGATATCTAAGGATAAATTTTATAAAAGATTTTCCTTAGATATTATCTAAATACACATATTTATAAGAAGAAAGAATTAAGAGCAAAAGACGAGCCATAAAGAAACACATTAATTTTCGCAAGTTTATTCACATGTTGAAAACAAACTGGCAACGGTTTATACAATGATGTTTGAAAATCGACGTAACTAGTAATAAGTTTTGCGATCACCAACCAGCACAAGTGCATAGAAAGTGCTCTCGCGTTCTTTCACTATAGATTAATCGATCATAAATTTCCATTTGACTGTTTACTTAGTAGAAACTGTCATATATTAAAACTTGCTTATTATACATATAAAAATTTATAGTCGACTAATGTCCACTTTTTAAGGGGACATCCTAAAATGACACAAATATCGATATTACAGATTAGAAAGTATTCTGAATAAGCTGTACAAATTGCAAAATTCTTTTACACAATTAAAATACGAAAAAAGATGCAAGACGATCGATTTAAGAAAATCGAAAAAGTTAAAAAATTGTCTTATTAAAAATTTAATAGTCATACTAAATGTAATTTTCGATTTTCTCATTAAATCAACTGTCTTGTATCTTTTTTGTACGTATTTTAATTATGTGAAAGGATTTTGCACAGTCAATTTAGAGTACTTTCTAACTTGTAATATCAGTAATTCTATCACTTAAGATCTCCTTAAGGGAATAGTATAATCTTTTTTGAAAATGATGTATTTATTATTCTTACCAATCGGAGTCTCGGACTCTTCCTTTAATCTAAGGACAATTTCTGTTTGTCCATCTATGAGAAATCTAGGCGGATTGTTTCTAGCTGAACAATACGTTAACAAATATCCAAATATCAAGTACAATTCTATTTTAAATCGGCTTCTTTTACATGATCGCAATAACCAGGAAGACGATCTCGTTTGCTCCTGCTAGTAGAATCTTTCACTTCTTAGTATTCTGAAATTAATACATAAACATTAATTTATTATAAAGAATACTGGAAGAATAAATAAATAACAGATTGTGTGAGTAAAAATATAAATATAAATATAAGTTATAAGTAAATTCTGTATAAAATTTAATACATTCTTAAAAGAATAATGTATTGAACAATTAAATAGAAATTATTAAATTGATCGAAAGCATTAATGTATATAGTAATGTAGACTAAGAGCGACATATTATCATCGATATAGATACACACCCATTTAGAAGACATCACATTACGTATTTCTAGTACTTTTATCGCGTAATTTTTGTGTATAATTTACAAACTTTATGCATTTTATTTGCACACGCGTAGTCTATTTACTTGCTGCATTTAGTTTGATAACCGGTATATTCACGCTGAGCGGTTGCTTTCTCCTCGGTAAAACGTCGTCTTGATGCAATGTCAAGAGTATCTCACCGCGAACGATCACGGAGATTAAACTGGAGTGAAAGCTTACCGGAAGAAACGTTTTCTCACGGCTCTTAAATTGTGCGGTACGCGATAATTAAAAGAATGCGTCTCCCGGCAAAAATCCGCTAGTACTCATTATGCAAGATATATTTCATTGCTCGATTCTTCTAGGATCTTACGAAGCGATGATATAATGTCGCATTCTTGGGAAAGAAAGTGTGTTACGATTCAAAACGAGCTGCAACTCCGATTATCAATAAAAAATATGTTTTCAAAAATTCATGAAATAAATTTAAATTGCATTTGAATAGATCAATTTTAAATAAACTTAATTTTAATAAAATTTTGATGTAAAAAGTTCAGTAAAAATGGTGTACAATTTTAAAAATTTAAAAATTATTAAAAATAACGATTTTCTATAAAGGTAAATTAATTTGAAATTGTTTAGGAAATCCATAATTAAAAATATTCGACAGTTGACACTGTTTAACAACGCCTGAACCAGGTACACGGAAGAAGCTTTCATTGACCCGTGTTCGTGTAAGAATTCTTTTTTAAAATAGTTTGACACTTAAGGAACACTGAGTGAACACACCGAACGGTGCTCTTCTTGCCAACAGAGTGTATCGGCCACGCTCTTGACTTTTAAGACTCTGCTAAATAACAGGCTAGTGCGAAGCTTCTCGATGTGCGGATACCCGTGTATTCAAATGTGTACGATGTATACGTGCGCTATCTGATTTCCAGCGAATAAAGACTGTAGCTACACAGGAAACGAATCTCTTCTTATTCCGATGAGTATTGATAAGAATTGTACCGGATAACATGATTTTCATTTACGATAATGTAAACCAGGCCTTTCCGGCTTCAAGCAATTTTTATTTTCAAAATGATTACTCTGAAGCATCACATTGTGATTTCTATATACTTTTTTATTTATTTATTTAGTGCACGATAAATAATAAACTAGTATATATGTATATGTATATACAATTTCCTTCAAATACATCTCTAGAATATTATTCTACGTATTTTTGCTGCAAGGATTCTTTGCTGTTGAGAGTTATCAAATGCAATTAATTATATATAATGATTCATCTAATCTTTTATCTATAATACTTGAATGTGTAAAGTTCGAATGCATAGCATGAAGAAGATTGCGTGACTAAAATTTTCTCCGGCTTCTTTACAACTTCACCTTCGCGCATCGTGAAATTCTTCGATAAGATTGATCGATAGAACGTTTTAAATTCAGAATAATTTTATTCTCTTCGACAATCGTCGATTTTTACTTTCAACACAAGCTATTCTGTACGGCAGGAGACCTCGTGAGCATTGACCGAATAGAGCAACTTGTATATTATATCTAAAGGAAGTTTCCTCTATGCATGCTGGTTCGAATAAAGGGGCAATAAGGTCATGTTTCCAATGGGGGGCTGTCCCGAGGTACGTGACGTCATTTCCTACACCTGCCATGCATGCTTCCGAATGATAACACCGTCCGGGATATTGACATACACCTATAATACTGTCTGTTGCCCGGCCAACCCTATACAGAATTTCCTTGCGTGACGGACTCCCTCACACCATGAACATATGTGTAAAGGATCTTGGCGGGTGCGAACCCGCCGGTTGTCGTCTGTGATATCGATACGTATTTTTTTCACGACGCTGTAAAATTAGGTAGGATAATTACGAAGAAGAAACGAACAGAACAAAATAATTTTTGTAATAAATCGTAATCATCTCGCGCGTAAGCTTTTCACTTTTTTAATTTAAATGTTTTGATTCTAATTAAGAGAAAGTAAATTATTTTAAACAAATTACAAAACTTTCCGTTATTTTAATTAACGTTATTTGCGTGGATCCGACAAATTAACTTCTCGAAAAATGTATGACGCAGAAATTGTTAGCCATTCGACAATTTTTGCCAGCAAAAATTCGCCGAGTTCCGAAGTTCCCTTTGTTGGTCTGCGGTTACATCTGGTGTTACAACAATAAACAGATGCTACTGTGCGAACGAAGTACATAAGCAAAATGAATTTCCTTTTCACTGTGGCACGATGAAATGTTACCCGTGGGAGTGAAATTAATGGCGTCTTATCTCATCGTACGAATAATTATGATGAGATACAATGGCGTCCGATTATTTAACGAAGAGATATAATTTCATAACACATCATAAAGAGAATACATAAGTCGAGTTGAAGCGTGATTGCATTCTTGCGTCATCAACATTCGCGTTTAATATAATTAATATGTCGTTATAAAATGGAAATTTGGGTCAGTGCTAACAATTGCCGATCAGTATCCAGTGGTTAGCTTTGCTTCAACGTTTAATTTTAATTCTGTAATAAACGGAAATCATGGCATATTAAAAAAAAGATAAATCTTACGCAGGAGAAATATGTAAATATATTTATATGTTACAAATAATATGTTATAAAATTGAAGTGTTATTAAATTAATTTTAATTTACATCTTTTTTCACTCACTTCCTTAAATTAATTTTTATTTAATTTACAAAAAATGTTGCCTTCATTTATCTAAAATCTGTCAAAATTTTATAATGGAAATCTAGTAGAAATCTATATTTCATTTTCGCCCTTTCGTGTTTCATTTAGTACAGATGACGTAGTTTAAACTTCAATTTCTACTTCAACCGCGAGAGAGAGAGAGAGAGAGAGAGAGAGAGAGAGACCTTCACTCTTTACTGAAGTTTGTTGAAAATTGATTGTAATAACAAGTATACGAAACGTCTTTCTTTGAGGATTGCAAGGCCAGTTATCAAAGAGTGGCTAACAATACCATTGATTCCATGAATTAAACTTTCAGTGGTGGTGTCAGATAAGCATTAATTGCACGTCAGATACGTGAGATTCCACACCGGCATAATTCGTACCAGGATGTCGACTGTGATGGACGTGCTGTCTGTCAATGTCACGTTTTAAAAGTTCCACGGAACTTTCTAAAAAATTGCGACCCGCTGCCTTTCCACGGCCAATCAAATCCGATAAAAAGGGACAATTTATTAAAATGTAAAAAATGAAGTAGAAATGAAGAGATAATCGTAGGTTTTATATATCAAATCTTTTAATCCTGCAAATCGATCGATTAATTTACTCATAAAATTTTAACGTCAGAAATTAACAAGTTATAACGTATAATTTAAGTATATTCTGTTGCTAATTATTAAAAGGTATTCAGTAGTTTCAACATACTCATTCATAATAAAAAATATGAAAAATCTAAATGCAACAGAACAAAAGCTTAGATCAGTTTTACCATCGTAAGTACAAATATTATATTAGTGTTCGAAAGTACTTTGTACTCACCAGAATTTTTAACGATGTATAATACAATGGCGGGAATAGATTTGTTTTGTATGTCTCAGTGATGAAAACAAATGTTTTTATTCACACAATTGTCTTATTGTAACTGCAGCTTTTAACACATTGTCGGTGCTAGAGTTAGCGTGATTGCAAAGCATGCAAAATGTATTCATACGTCCAACTGTGCCAGTAAACTCTATCCAGGAATCAGATTAAATTGATCAATTTAATACCGCTTTTCAATTGTTTTTTAATTTTTTTCCACATTACATTGTCGACATTGAATTGACAATAATTGATATTTCTTTTCAGTTCATTATTCATTTAATTGATTAATTGCATAATTGCACGTAGTGACAGGAATCGACGACTTTATTATAATTTTTATTATCAAATTACTGTCACTGTAATTAAAAATCTAAATTCTCCTTTTTCAATCACTGTGTTTAGAATTCACTCAAGTTTGTTTTCCGCCATTAATCGAAAACGAAAATTCGCACAATTTAATTCATTGAATAAAAACTCTTTTTTAAACTCCTTTTTAAATCATAAATAGCACTTTTCTCACTACTCCTAGATTTAACGCAGGCAAGACTAAGTCGAAGTAATATCGAAAATCGAATTCTGTTCACGATCGCGAGATTAAGGTGATGACAAACAAATTTGCATAGAACCGTGTCATCGGCCGATCGACCGTGAGCGCGGCGCGCTCACCTGTCCGAATGAGCTTACGATAGTAAACTGAAGGTACGGACGAAGCCAGCGTGGTTCCCGTCAGGAGAGCGTAGATCGTTGCCTGGCATTCGTTCTGTGGCGTGAGCACTGACCGTGCACAGAACACCACAAAACGTACGGTTGTTCCAAGTTAAATTCAGCCCGTCGTGCTCCCCGAGGCGTGCACGAGGGGGCTTTCCCACTTCGTCACAACCTCCGGTCACCTGTGCCACCTCACCGCCCGTAGGGGAAGATACTTATATTTTGTAGAGAATAGCGGGGCACCGCCTAGGTCTGCGGCCCGCCGATTGTTAATGGCAAAGAAACGGTAGGACGGTTATTAACGGACGTCATGGTATAATCTTCCACATCAGATGTAAACGCATGAAAATGAATCGAATGACGTATAATACATTTGTTAAACCCTTAGAATGCGGCTAACTTTGTAATGAAGAAACAAAGTTTCTTTTAGTTTTGTGAAACTAAAAGAAAGTTAAATTTGCGGAGAACAAAAATAATTGCATGTAATATACTGCAGGAATATGTGTCTAAGAATTATATAGAAGAACGAAAGTTTTTAAGAAGAGAATACATAAGTTTTGAGAAGAATACAGAGAATGTCAGGAAGAATAAATAAATTCTAAATAAATCAATTTTAGGGAAATCAGTTTATATATACATTCTGAAGTTTATAATTTTACTGAAGAAAATTGAATTATACGTAGAAGATGAAAGATATAGGGA